TTAGCATTTACATTTACATGGCTAAATACAACAAACTTAACTAAAACTTAATTAACACATACCTCGTTGGCTGCTTACGGAAGGATTTAACCTTTTTCTTAACCCTTTACTTAAAGTTATCATATTTATTAAATATGCCATCCCAAGTTAATTACTTGTTCATTTTCTGTGTTTATCATTGTTCACGTTTTTGCAGTTTACATGCTTAGTCCTTGTTGCATTTTTCATTAAGATAAATCTAAACTAATTTCTGTAGTTCAAACAACTTAGAATTGTAGTTGAGAACGTCTGTTACAACGGCTCACGTATTAAAAAATAGTCGGGTTTAAATCGGGCTCGGGCTCATAATTATAGTTAATGTGTCGGACCGGGTCGGGCTCGGACACAAGGTGCACGGGCTCGGGTAGGATCGGGTTTAATTTTTTGGGCCCGATCTAAGCTCTACCCTGAATATCACTAGCTAAAAGTCTTTAAAGACTCAGAATGTTCCTCATGGGTGGTCAAAGCACGACTGCGTGAAAGGGAAGCTGGGCCAGTACCTGCGTTCCTTAATTTTCTTTCCGTGACCGTCTTTGCCATGATCATCCACGTAAAATGGCGTGCAGGGGGGTGCAGTCGTGAAATTTAACTCAGGCAGGTTTGTCATGGAGCGGTAGTTCGGCTTATACTGCCTAAGTTGGGGGAGAACAGGTCGATCAGGCAATCTGTGAATTTTAGTCTACCCACACACATGCATAAACATGCACACACAAATGTTGTAATAAATTAGGATATCAGAAGAACGATCACATTGTCTTTGGCCCTTAATCATCTGAGGATGGACATTAGAAACTCCATAAGGTAGATTTCGGGTAGATAAGGGTGCAGAGCAGCTGCTTCCCGCAAAGTCCAATGAGTAAAACCCACCTGGTCCGGTCCTCCACTTTTACAAAAGGCCTGTTGATCCTCCCAGCTGGAAAGCAAGACCCAGTGATGTTATCAAATAGCACAAAATGTGTACGTTTAAAAAGGTAAGCATGTGAAAACATGCAGCTAGAATGGCTGACATGGTAAGACTTAGCGCTCAAGGCCAAAAGACATACCATCATGTTTCTGAAAAGAACCTCTTTGGGTCAAGCCGGTTTTAGTCTAAAAAACAAATGTTATGATGTCAGCCATTGGGCAAACTGGATCCTGACAGTCCATGCAAAAACAAGCAGAGCAGAATATGAACCTACCTCATTCTTTAAAGCAGACACAGCTTTACTCTTTAAAGTGAGATTTTTCTTCTTTTTTTCAACATAAGAGATTATATCTAAGACAATCAGAGAAAAGGGCAGACATCACATTTTTGAGACACCTATTTACTTCTGATACCGATTTCCCAAACTGCATTCTGGTTAACTGACATCGTTAAACAGCGATGGACAAACCAGAGTGATATCACTGATATCAAAAGTTACATGGGGGGGGGGAAAGAATAAATCAACAAAAGGCCAACAAAATAGTGAGAAATTACCTTCAATATACAGGACTTTGACTCCCCACTCCAAGGCATTAGATAAAATTCTGTTGATCTGTACCCTCTCCTAAAGAGAAGCAAGAGCTAATTAGGCCAAGCAAATTAACACTGGACCATGTTTACCATTTATCCAAATGGGAAGCCTTGTGACAGATGACATCTACCGCAACAGCATGAATATTTACCCACCTGTTCCTTTATTACTCTCTCAACCAAAGACTTTCCTCTACTTGCAATTACCTGTCATTTAAAAAAAATGGAAGGGGGGGGGGGGGTTAAGAGTACCAGAAGCAGGTAAGATGAGAAAAGTTTCTCAGCACAATAATAATAAGTAATAAAAATAATTTGGAGAATGGATGAATTTCTTACAGCATCCGTGACACCCTGAGAACTGCCTTTTGGACTCCGCTGTCTGGGGAGGGGGGAACTGTGACCCGAGTCTGGGCTGGCCACCGGTGAGTTCCTTCCCAGGCCCCGGACAAACCTGGCATCCCTCTTGTCTGATACGAGGTACTTAATGTCCTTGCTGAAGAACTTTTCAACGGTCTGTCGTGAAGAACATTAATGAGACAGGTGGGTGTCATGGCTGTGAACGAAAACACAGGATGGACCATGGGCACACACGCCGTCTTGGGACGATGAAATGCATACCCCTCCTAACAGTGTGATGTCCTTCTCCAACGATTCAGCTTTCTTATTGGATACTAGGTGCAGGTAGAAACACTTCCCAAGCAGAGGCCGCCCTTCTGAAGAGCGGGAGTCCTTCACCACGCCGCTTCTTTTACACGATGCCTTGTTAGGTCCACCATCCGCAGTTTCTGAGGTCAAACAGGGATCCATAAGAGGCCTGATACAGACCCGAGAACACACGGGGCCGCTATGCAGACGGACGATATGACACATACACAGCGTTACCAATAACCACCACCCCTACCCCCCAGAAAAACTGAAAACTGCGTTTTACTTACCTCTAGATTTCATTTTAGGAAGCCAGCTAGCTCTATGGTGAGAAACAGCCGGCTAGGCAAATGTTCGAGCGTGTTCCCTGGATGAAAAGAAACAGACGTATTACAACACATCTCGGTTACGACCTTCTAAGAGGCCAGAGCACCTGGTAATGTCGCATATAATCTTCCGAAACACAAAATGGGCCTTTAGACAGTCTGACTAAATATAAAATCCGCAAGATAAAAATTAAAATTCCGATGAGTAGCGTTAGTATCCGTTGATGTTGTCCCCATACGCTTTGCAGCTCTCGGCCAAAATGTAAGCAAGCAGAAAGTTAAAACTAAAAACAACAGGAGGGATAAGGTAGTGACGAGAGCCTTTTAAAAGCCACCGTTAATAAGGAGACCTCCGCTAGCCGCGGAACTGCTCAAATAAAACGCGCACACTCGACAAATACAAAACTTGGACACCTCGAACAGCAACAAGGTATCATTAAATAAACGGACACGCGTAATTAATTTGACAAGTACAAGCCTTACCCAATACAGAGAAGTAAAAATTATACTTGAGTTTATAGCTAGTATGCTAACTGACTACATTTCGAACTACGCTGTTCAAATCGGGTTTCCTCTTTCCCGCTTCTTACAAAGGTATCCCACAATCCTCTGTCTGGCGAGGAATGCTGAGCGCTATTTCGGCTTCCCGATCAGCCGTTTCGACACTTCATTCCTAGTTAGCATTAAAAATAAATAAACTGCTTCAAAGATGTGATAGAAATTAACGGATTATATAAATTATATTTTGCTGTAATTAAATCCATTTTACGGTAGAGTGCGTGCCTTGATTTATGGAGCGAAATTTTGTCATGAATGTGCTTTATATAAATGAGATTTAAAGAAAACTTGACATGGCACGTAAATATGGATTTTGAGACCCACGTGTTATCATTGGGAACCTTGTAAGTTGACATAAAATGGTTAGTTATTTAGTAGTAAGCATATATATATAGGGCAGTTCGTCAAGTGCATAAATCGCGGTGAGTAATAGTTTTTTTTAAATGTATCTGACTTTCTGTCGACTAATATCTTTAAGTGTTCAGGGAATTCCCAGAAATGGTGTCAGGATTGAGATACAGTCGCTAACTGTTTACCGAAAAGGAGATATTTACCTGACTTAGAGTGTCACTGTTATTTGCGTTTTCAAGGACGTCAGAAGGTAATCTTTACTTGGTGTTCAAATTGTTTTCGTCATTAGTTTTCTTATTTAATGACAATTGTCTAACTTTCAATCAAGTATAATTGGATTTATCATCACTTAAGGTTCTCTAGTTATCCGGTGGCCCGGAGAACGAAAATCTCGGATTAAATTCTGAAATCATATCCCTTCCTTATAAATTTGTAGTTTCTGTGACCTTGCTGGCCGTGTATGTAAATATGCTGTTGTCAAATGGAAATGAAAAACCTGTAAACAGTATCCGAAATGTCTGTTTGTGTTCACAGACAGTGCCATGTCTGCCAAATCAGCTGAACCGCAATTCAATGGCATAACGCCTGTCCAGCAAATGCTGGCCTCCTGCTCCGGGGCCATCCTCACGTCGCTGATCGGTAAGCCCGGGGCCGCCGGTAGCTCGGGCGTATTGACCGGCGCCCCTGCAGCATCCTCTGACCCTGTTCGTTACGCTTCCAGTCACACCTCTGGATGTGGTGAAGATAAGACTCCAAGTTCAGAAGAATCCCTTCCCGAAAGGTATGCAGCCTCATTAGTCGTTTTTTTCCTTCTAAATGTCATTAAACTGGTTTCCAATGGCTTGTTTTGTTTTCTTTCCCCACAGGAAAATGCTTTGTGTACTGTAATGGCTTGATGGATCACATATGCGTTTGTGAGAATGGAAACTCCAAAGCCTGGTACAAAGCACCAGGTCACTTCACTGGGACCCTGGTAAACTCTGTGTAAAACCCTGTAATTAACAAATAACTTTAACCTGTAAAATAACTTCTTTAGTTATCACAGTTAAGCAGTGTTGGGGAAGCTGCTCACAAATGTAACCATTACAGACAGAGGTCTTGGTCTGGATTTGTACTTTCTGGACCTGAACTTTCCACCTCTGTTTGTAGTAGATTACTTCTGTGAGTAACTTCCCCAACACTGCAGTTAAATAGCTTGGTGAACAGAGACCCAAGACTCTAGTAACCACCCAATGATATTCTCACTGTGTTATGGGGTGCAGATAATTAAAATAACTTGAAATTCTAAGTGGTTCTGAAGTGTTTTTTTGTTTGTTTTTTAACTTTAGGATGCATTTGTTAGCATAATTCGGAGAGAGGGAGTGAGGTCTTTATGGAGTGGACTTCCCCCAACATTGTAAGTTTGCATGTCCGGCTCCAGAAACCACTTATGCCGTTACGTAAACATTGATCCCCATTGTCCAAACTGGAGGGGATCGGAGCCGCAGATGCATGCATGAATATTTATATTGTGAGCGGATTGATTTATGTTTGCTGTCTGTAGGGTCATGGCAGTACCGGCAACAGTCATCTACTTCACTTGCTATGACCAGCTGTGTGCAATTTTGAGGAGGAGGATGGGCTCTTATTCGGGGGAGGTGCCCCTGCTGGCTGGGGCTGTAGCCAGAGGTGAGGGGACCTCAGGGGCGTGTGCAGGAGTCCCTGGGTGTGTGTGTGTGTGTGTGTGTGTGTGTGTGTGTGTGTGTGTGTGTGTGTGTGTGTGTGTGGAGGGCCCTTCGCTGAAGGCCTGGCTCACCATGTGCCTGTGTCCTCCCCACAGTGGGCTCCGTCACGGTGATCAGCCCGCTGGAGCTGATCCGGACCAAGATGCAGTCCCAGAGGCTGTCTTACAGGGAGCTGAGCGCCTGCATCAGGTCGTCAGTCCAGAATGACGGGTGGCGCTCTTTCTGGCGTGGCTGGGGACCCACCATGCTCCGCGATGTCCCCTTTTCAGGTATTGGCCATTCTCTAGAAATGTCCCCTCCCCCGACTGGTTTGCATAACTTACAGAAATACATGTGTACAACAGCAGGTCTTTCTCTGGGATCAGTCCCTTCCGCTGCCTCTATCAGTCTGACTCCACGTGTCGTTCCTCCTTTTCTCCCTACCGCTGCCCTCATGTCCGCCGTCACATTCGCCGCGCCATCCATGGTGCCACCTGGTCTGTCGGCTGCTCACTGGACCCCCCCCCCTCCTGCCGCCTCTGCAGCCATGTACTGGTACAACTACGAGCTGGGGAAGAGCTGGTTGTGCCGGCAGTATGGCTGCAGGGAGCCCACCTTCACCATGACCTTCACAGCAGGCGCCACATCAGGAGCCGTGAGTAGGGGGGCCGCCTTCGCTCTCCCAGCATCCTCAGCTGTCTGCGCCAAGCCCACCCCTCCCGTACAGCACAGCACATCTGAAATCTGCCTGGAGACTGATCATAAAATAACACCTTGCCTGAGTGTTTATATACTTAACCTGAGATGTTAATCATAAGTATCCATCGAGGTTTTCTGCTGTTCTTGTTTGAAATCTGCATTCCAGTGCTGACGTTTGCCAGCATCCTTATGTAATATGGAAATGGCTCAGGCTGCCATCTTCCCCCAGATTGCCTCTATAGCAACGCTGCCCTTTGATGTGGTGAAAACGCGGCGACAGGTTGAACTTGGAGAACTTGAAGCTTTGAACCGTGAGTAGGTCCTGGTGGGTTGAGGACGGCAGCGTGGCCTTGCAGCAGTGACACCCGGATGCCGTTCTGATCGCATGTCCGCTTCCCCCACAGTGTCTACAAAAATTTCTTCCACAACATACAACGTCATGAAGAGGGTGGTTGCTGAGAATGGGGTCCGAGGACTATTTGCAGGTACGTGTCCTGGTGACATGGTGTCCTGCATGTAATCTTAACGTCCCAAGGGACACCTGTCCTGCAGTCCATTTTCATGAGGAAAAATGCTATTTGGTGCAGGTGCTCAGTGCGTCACCACTAGGCCCACAGTCTTGTCACACTTACACATTACTAAAAATAAATTAAACCAAGACCTTCTCTGATATAGTGTTTGAAGGGAAACTGTTTCTAATATACAATTTCCCAAAATTCTCCTAAAAGGGTGACTGCTGACAGAATTTCTTTCAATACTTCCAGACGTGCAAAATCATTCCATGCCAGCCATCCATATTAAACTCGTGTCTTTATGTTTCAGTGGCTGTGGTCCCTCACGTGAATCTCACAGAGCAAACTACATTTAAAACCTGCCTTGCATCTCCCAGACCATACGACTACAGCGTCGCCATTAGCCTGGTGTCACAGCGACCAGGTTAAATGCTAAATGCATTAGCTTGGCCCAGGAACTGCGCTCTGTTCCTGAATCAGCTGTTTAACCTTCTGGGAACAGTGGATGGAACTAATGTACAGTGCCATACTGTTATCTAATAATAGCTCTTTCCCATCAGCCTGTTTTTTCTTTGGAATCGCCACTAGGTGTCACGATTCTGCTATTTACGAAAATCAGCTAATAAAACAAGTGTGAAGTGTTTTCAGGATTTAACTCCTTGGGGAACAAAGGTGAATCTTTTCTTCCCTGTTCTTGTGGGTAAGGCAGTTAGCATGCCGTGTGAGTGGGTCAGCCCGTATCCCTCGGATGAATGCAGACAGCGGAAGGTGTCTGCTTTAGCTGCAGTAGGGTGTAGCAGGCAGGATGGCTCACTGCTCTCCCCCAGCTCACTGCTCGCTCACTGCTCTCCCCCTCCTCACTGCTCGCTCACTGCTCTCCCCCTCCTCACTGCTTGCTCACTGCTCTCCCTCTGCTCACTGCTCTCCCTCTGCTCACTGCTCTCCCTCTGCTCACTGCTCTCCCCCTGCTCACTGCTCTCTGCTCTCCCCCTGCTCTCTGCTCTCCCTCTGCCCACTGCTCTCTCACTGCTCTCCCCCTGCTCACTGCTCTCCCCCTGCTCACTGCTCTCCCTCTGCCCACTGCTCTCTCACTGCTCTCCCCCTGCTCACTGCTCTCCCTCTGCTCACTGCTCTCCCTTTGAGGTCTGAGTCTCAGCCTTCGCTGGCTCCTCCACCATGTAAATCTCTCATTTCACTCTGTTTTTCTCCAAACTTGTTACTGGTAGTAGCAGTCAATGGTGGTGTTCTTGTTAGTATTAGTAGTCATTCATTCATTCATTCATTCATTCATTCATTTGATGGCTGCTAGATGTAAAATGTTGGCATTACTTCTATAGGGGTGTTAGCCATGCTCTGGGGTACATTTGGGTGAAATGGGCCTGTTTATCCAACTAATGCTAAGTCACATAATAACCCCCCCATGCCCCCCATCCTCCTGCTTCCTAAGTGGCGACTTTATTTTGCACTTGGCAGTAATATAAACAGATTTACCTTATTTCCTGTAGCAGTTCATTAGCAGAGCTGTGTGGTATCTAGGAAATATTTTTGAAGCCCTCAATTACTTTTTCCTTTTCTTATTTAATTTTGACGTTGTGCGTGGTTTGTGTGCAGTTTGACCTGCCTGCTACACACCAGTGTATTTTTAATTCGACCACTTCCCAGCCTTGTTTGGCTAATCAATACCTCATTGAGTTACTCCAGTATTTAAGTTAATTAATAGAGCTGGTGGTGAAATTTAACGAATGCATGGAATGGCTGAGGTACCCCTAAGGAGAGGTTTGGGAACCAAAGCGGTGTTCATCTAGCCATCCAACAAGATATCATAACTTTATGGAGTCCCAATTTGGACCGTTTTGTAACTTCTGTATTTTTTATTTTGTTCCTGTTAATTAGTACTTCATTTTTGGGTTAATACTACATTTTCCGCCATGATGTTTATCTTGTAACTTTTCTACAGCAGTGGTGCAGCTGTAAATGACAGAATGTGAATTTGGTATATGGCGTCAGCCCCCCAGGGCACCCGTGCAGCGCGGGAATGAGGCTCCTCAGCACTCCGCCACAGGCCTCTTATGCCCCCCCCTGTCTCCCTCCTGCAGGCTGCCTCCCCAGGGTGATCAAGGTGGCCCCGGCCTGCGCCATCATGATCAGCTCCTACGAGCACGGCAAGAAGTTCTTTCGGCAACGCAATCGGGAGCGGAAGGAGGCCCCTCTGCACACGAGCTCCTGAGGGCCCTCAAACATCAAGCGGGAGCTGGAGAGCTGCCTGCTACTCAGGCACCCGAACACATCGACGGCGGAGGGGTTGACGGCCAAACCCTGGGGGGATATTCGGGGCCCCTGCGCTCCCATTAGGCTGAAGGCGGCGAGGACAGCAGACGGCAGGTGCAGTTTGCACACCCCACGCTTACTTTGACCGGAGGTGCAAAGTTCAGGGCCAGACCAAGGTTTTGTTTCAACCAACCAAAAATCAACCTGAATTCTCCACCTCTGCCTGTTAACATGTTTGTCTGCTTTCACCCTACCTCCCCCCCCCCCCCCTAAAATCAGGAATGTTTGTTTTGTGCAGCTGGTTAGGAATTATCAGGCTGCGTGTGATTCTTACCTCTCATAGTAAATAAATCACATCTTTATTAGCACTAATGCAGAACAAAATAATTGCACAAGTTTCTGCTTTTTCCTGTTAATTCTTACTTGAAATTCTCCCCAGAACCTATCAGGCATGTGAGGTCAGTGGTATTGCTAAGGTGATTAGCTTGTATTTACACTAGACGTTCAGGGCAGAAAGTACAAATCCAGGCCACAATTTTGTTTCCATGATTTTGTTTCAATCAACCAGTTTATAAACCAGTGTGTCAGTCACAGAATATTCAACTGGTTTGTTGAATACCAACTGGATTTGGACTTTCTGGACCTGAACTTTCCACTTCTAGGTAATAACCAGTCATCATGTATACAATTTATGGAATGATGAACACATCTAATGGTGTAGTAAATGCTGCGGTCCATCAAGTCAGTGTCACAGGACTTTCAGAAGCTACTTATGGTGCGGATGACCAACTCTGTCACTATTACACTTGCTGTCCCGTGTCATTCTCAGATCTTGATGGGTTTTAGTGCACCTGTGCTCTGAATACGTGTGTTTGGCTGTTTTGCGATATTTATTGGGCGAACGGTCTTCGTGTAGTCTTAAAGGCTGCAGACCTGGCCTGACCCCAAAGGATTGCCAATCCATGCAGGTCCAAGAGGCCTTTCTATTGTACCTGCGAGCAGGCTCTTTACCCTGAACTGCTTGGGTGGAAATATCCAGCAGTTTATCTGTATGAAGCACCTTTTACTTGGAGAGATGCCTTAACGATAGGCCGTGCCGCAGGGGGTGGACACATGATGCTGGTAGGTGGCATCAGGCGCTGTTTTGGCAGAATCTCTACGGGCCAGTTTTAACCGTGCGCCAACTCCAGCTGTCTAACAGGTCTGGACACTTCTTGTACCTTGTCCATGTTGCGTGATCCTGCGTGTCTCTGAGCCGGCCTACTCGCGGGAATAAACACAGCAGGTTTATTGCTGTGGTTTCAGAAAGGACATTATGTTGAAGTGTTACCGTGGATCTCTGGAGTGGCATTTTCAACATGCCCGCTGGAGATTTTTCGCTTTTCGTGGGGGACGGACCGGTAGGAATTCCATCTTTGTGAAGTGCCATGTTAATTGTCTTAGACTGACTGTGCTGACTTTCACTGCATCTACTCTACTCCTACGCTACTCCCTTTAGCCAGACTGTTAGTTTGTCACTGATTTTTGATTGTCATGCCCTGTTTTATATTTCCCCGTATATTACAGTTTGGTATGATGGTGAGGTACCACAACACAGGCAAAACTGTGGAAAGAGACAGTTTTTAATATGAATTTTCTTTTGATTTATTATTTAAACACTGATTGGCTGGGCGCTGTTTGGCTTTTTTTTAATGAAATGAGTGTGAAAATTACATAGCAACGTTTTATAAAATTTTAACCTTTGACCATAGGGAGTAAATGTGAATAGAGCATTTTAGGACACTGTCAATGTTTTCATGCAGCAAATATTTGTTATATATTGGTTGGTTTTTGTATCTTGTTTTAGCTTTTTGTCTCAGGCATCGATCAGATATGTATGTGACACACATTGTTACTGTCAACATTTCAATAAATCCAGTCAAGTCGCTCCGGTGTAGACCGCCTGCTCTTTGGGGTGCATATGTGGGCTCCCTGACACCCCCATTTCCCGTCTACGGTGAAAGGGACTCGCAACCAATCATTCTGCATCACTTCACCTCATGCTGGTTATGGCTTTTAAAATTTAATCACTGCTTTCAGATGTCAGCGACACGCTATTAAATATAAGCACATCTGAAAGGCACCCTTACGTGTTAAAAGGCTTCTTTAAACACCAAGGCTCCCCCCTCACCTGTGTGGGACTCTGGCTCCGCCTCCTCCAGGGGGTGTCACTTTGGTAGGTGCTGATTTAGACTTTGTTTAAAATGATTATGTATCAAAATGTTGGAGTCTGGTATAAAATGTCATTTTATTCAATGTTGAACATAAGCTGTACATAATGTGGAGTTTGTACATTTGTTTAATGTCTGTAAATTGAGTTTGCTGTCTGTGCTGGGTGTCAGCTTGGCGTCACCATGTAAGTGGTCATTAAAAACACATTATAAACACCGTAATGGATCCTAAACGCAGAAGGTGGTCAACTATAGGCCTGCATGTAACCTACCACTGAAATATCCATCCATCCATCTTCTGCCAGTTATCCATGGTCCGATCATGGGGGCAGCAGTCTAAGCAAGGATGCCCAGACCTCCCTCTCCCCAGCCACCTCCCCCAGCTCCTCCGGGGGAATCCCAAGGCGTTCCCAGGCCAGCCGAGAGATCTCTCTCCAGTGAGAAATACCGAGATTTAAAATGTTACAATTGTAGTTACGACCTGATGTCTATAGGTAAACCATATTCTCCGCCAGAAGACATCCATCCTAAATACTAAGAAGCTTATTTTCTGTAAACGTGTGTAAAATTTTAAATGATTTCCAAGACCCTTCGCCTACACACAGAATAGACGGAATCATGGTGTCATTCAAAGGTCACGTCCCAAATGCTGGGGGCAGGTCACGCAAATGAGGACTTAAATATTTATTCTAAATTATGCGCACGCATCATGAAATACAGGCAACAACAGAGATTACAGGGGATCAACAGCAATTTACATTTCATTGCAGGCGCGCAATCCAAGGCGTCTGGAAAATGAGGGGAAGGAGGGCCGGGTGTCTGTCGCACGGGGGTGTCGCACGGGGGTGCATCGGAGCCGAGCGGGTGGGTAAAGACTCAAACGCAGTACACCGATGGTCCGACATAAGGCTCAATGTTTTCCATCCAACCCAAAACTGGGAAAACATGAGGAAAATTTCTGTAAAAATACCATTTTAACTAATTTTATACTCATATTACATGAAAGAATAACGATGTTGTGCAGCAGTTACGATTATCTTTTTAGATATGAGGCAATTGTTTTTTTTTCCCCACTGCTTTCTAGAAACTTGGAAGATGTTTACTTTATACCCAGTAGTATACAGCAATGGCCTGTAAGCAGTTCTGCGTTTGCTCTGACTGAAAGACCTTTACTCTCTATATAGTGGTGGTATAAATCTTCCTAACCGGCCTGCAAATAATCAACAAAAAGATCCAGACATTAAAAATGGATAATCACCCTATCGCTATCACCAAAACACTTCAACAAGTCTACTTCACAGCGCAATCTCTCTGTATCCATGGTAATTTATTGACTGACTACATGAGTGTGTAACAGCGCCACCTTTTCAAGCATTAAAAGGACTGCGACACACATGGATTCACTCCTGTTTGTGCAGGGAAGTCGATGCAGTAAATTAGCCCTGATTTCGTATCGCTGTTGTCTAAGACAACCATGACAAATTGGGCTGGCTGCCCATTTCAGTGAATCCACAGTAAGCCTAATGCCCCAGAGCCTCATGCAGCATCCAATGAGGCTTTCAGGAGAGCGTCTTGTGCTTCGAGGTTAACATCCACAAACATGGGATTAGACAATGAGATGGCTGGAAGCTGCACAGACACAGATGGAGCTGACCATCGCCAGGAGCACCACCAAGCATATAAGCAGACATCCCAGTCTGGGCTGGAATTGGCTCACTGGCGCTGTCTATGTGATACTCAGCTTCTGCTGTAGGTACATAAAACCACCTCCGAACTGGGGGCGATCATGCAAACTAAAACCGTTTAACAGCGTCACTAGATAAAGGACATTCATGATGAGCAACAGAGGTAAATAAACGGGGGCTGGGGGGCGATGAAGGCACAGGGCAGTACATAAATGACGCTCAATACTGCCCCCTCCTGTCAGGGAAGCGTACAGCGAAGCCAAAATTCTGAGCTGATTGTCCGATTCTCCTCGAGGGTGATACTGAAAATTACAGCCGATTTGCCTGCACTTCCACCCGCCCCCCTCCACTCCCCTCCACTACAGAAATGGAGTCACACGCTTTTCAGGGGCGGGTCGCAGCAGGTCTCAGTAATCAGAGACCATCACGAGTGCTTCGGCCACTCTTGTCGTTCGCGTGACAGGACAGATTTGCTTTGACCGCCAAGATGCTGCCGTTTAGTCCAGTGTGTCTGTTAATAGCCAGCAGAACAAAAAAAAACATCTGATGATAACGAACGACAGTAATGGGCACTCTGACCTGGTAATGCATTAAAATAAAAAATAAAAAAAACACGCATAGAAATCTCACTGGAACAGATGGACCTAAATTATGCTCTATTAAACCAAGAAACAGACAGACATGAAGAGCAACCAAGTCAGTCCAAAGTGGGGGGTGCAGCCTTCCCAGCGGGTCTCACAGAGACGATGAAGGATGATGGACTGTAGACCAGGGGGGGACCACGACCAGACAATGTTCAGGAGGGCGTCAGCCCTGGACTGGTCATCTCCGTGCTGGGACTCACAAGGCACTCAGGGGACTTCAGGCTGGCCAGGGATTTGTAGCTGGCCACAGACGTCAGAGATCCACACAGGCCGCGTAGCGAGGGGGTGTCTTCCTTGCCTTGAGAGAGGAAGGGGGGGGTGGGTTTGACTGGATGAACAGACACTATAGTAATCATGGGCAGGCATTTGAACCCTACAGGACTGGGGGTTAATTTGAGGGTGTAATGGAACACTGTGAGGATCTGGGGTCCCCTGCAACAACAGAACGAACACAGTAACTGTTAAATGCCTCAGATACAGCATCAGCCAATTAAGGAAAATTTATTTAGCAAAAGGCTGCAGCAAAAGTCAGTTACTCATTAAAGGTGCATGTAGCAGGTGGGGGAGGGGCTAGGGGCCTGGGAGCACTGGACTGGGAGCACTGGACTGGAGCACCGATGGTACCTTCACTAAACCAGCGGGACCGGCCCGGCTTGGGCTCCAGGTCCTGCGTGTGTACCGGGTCCAGCGACGTCTGGGACAGGGTCATGTCAGCAGACAGCTGGTCCAAACTCTGGAAACTCTTCCTGTGACCAGAACAAAAAAAATACGAGGACCTGAACTGGGCTGAACTGCGAACCCACATCCTAACCCAACCATGCATCCAACAGCACTGTGGGTTCGCTCTGCTGAAATCCCCAACAGGACAGTGATGCTCTTCCTGATTCAATGACCTTTCACCCCTGAAAGTCTCTAAACCAGCACAGTACATGAGCCACTTCAACACTGTTTTTGTGGGTGGGGGCACCATCTGTTGAGCCGATGTGGAAAATGTCACTTCTCTTACTTCACGCTGTGACACTCGAGGCGGTGGGACACCATGCTGCCCGTCACGGCCCAATGTGAGGACACAAACAGAGGCTGAAACACACCAAAATGTCTCCCTCCCGCACCGCAGGGAGGGAAGCTCATTATCAGGCTAATTATCTCCATCCCACAAGGCATCAGTAGGGCCACATATCATAAAGGCACAACTGAAAATGTCACCTTTGGGAAACACAGCCTGCGACAGCACACCATGACAGAGAAAAGCAGTACCTATGTGACACGGAAAAAAAAAAGTCAGAATTGTGGAGGGGCCTCATCGTTTGCGTCTAGGCTGTTTCTCAGGCGATTTGCATAAAGCACCCTTCACCAAGTCCATCTGGCTGCGACACGTGGACCAGCAGCCTGGAAGAGCCTGACCGGATTCCTCTCAGAAAACGGTGCTGTCATTCAGGGCCTTGCCAGTGCCGTGACCTCTGAGATGATGGGGGCAGACATGGATGTGAAGGACCAGCATTAATTCAGCAGTCACTACCTTTAATTTGTGTTAATTACCTCAGGAACCACCTCAAAGAGCAACAGTCTCCTGTAATCGAGGGGTCTAACGGCACCTCTGCTTGTACCCGATCTTAACTTTTAAAGTCAGACAGTTCAGGCTCAGAGCCAGCAGCTCAATGTCTGGGCAGCTGATTTTCCACGTTCACCTTCAAATGTTTGGGCAGTGAATAAAGACAGCTATGCCACCCCCCAGTGAATAAAGACAGCTATGCCACCCCCCAGTGAATAAAGACAGCTATGCCACCCCCCCCCAGTGAATAAAGACAGCTATGCCACCCCCCCTTCAGTTTGCTGATTTTTTTTTTTTTTATTCCTGCTGCTATGTCTGTCTGTAGCTCGGATTCTGTGAAGCACATCAATCTGCACTTGTCACTTTCCTATTGGTTCTCCTCACTGAGGCCAGGAGGCCTTGGAGTCCATCCATCTTGACCAGAAGTGATCTCTCACTAGCTGGAATCACTGTAGACAGGGTCCCCCACCCCCCGTTATCTGCCTTGGCATCTACCTTCCAGCTCCAGTGGGTTACCCCCCAGTTTGGGCCTGGCATCTGCCCTCTGGGTGATAAGCTTTTCCCATGGGCAATAACAAAATGATAATCAAGCTAGATGCTGTTGAAACAACAACAATGTATTCCCCACACAGCCCCATTGCCCGCCCATCCAACACCCCCAACCTCTGCAATCCCTTACCTTACTACACTCTCCCCAGCAGTTGCTTTTCTTTTTGCCATCACTAAGCATAAAGCATTGCTTTGTTTTTGGCACAATCTGTCTGAAAATAAACTAGATCCCAGGCAATAATCTATACAGGAAGTCTTAGGAAGTCTGAAAGTTTGAAAGAGATCCATCAAATACTTTTAGAGTTACTGCTCTCACAAGATCAACAATCTTCTGCAGCCGCCCTTTGCTTCCTTTGCCACCATCCTGTGCTGCTGCTTCAATTTTATTGCAATTTGTCTCAAAATGAAGATCTTCATCTATATCAGTGGTTCTCAAACTTGAAAAAACATACATTCAACTTTTGTTCTGCTCAGAGCATATGAGATGATCAGAGCAGGCGCAAGCAAGGCAGGATTTTGGTCAGAGCAGGAGCTTGAAATGTATTGATACAAATAGGGCTGTCACGATCGCGTCACAATGTAATTTCGATTATATGGCTCGTGCAATAATCACCACGGATGACGGGTGAAACATTTGTCCAGATCCCAGCTTTTCAGTACTTTATAGACATTTACTTATGCACAACATTTTTTAAGCAGATAAGTAGTACAACTGAACTATTAATGACATGCGTATTGTGACTGTCATAAGTTAAGTTAGAATCAGCAAATTCTCAATTTTTTATATCGGTATCGGGTTCAGACCAAAAAAAATATCGTGCCATCTCTAATACCCACATTACTACAACATTGAGATACAATACATATACCACACACTACCACAGTATGATACACTATACATACTGTATACCACACACAATACATGCACATCCTACCACAACAAGAGACACAATACATATACCACACACAATACACACACTACCACAGTATGATACACTATACATACTGTATACCACACACAATACATGCACATCCTACCACAACGAGACACAATACATATACCACACAAAGTACACAACCTACTCCATCCAACACACCATAGCACAACGTGTCCTGAGGGCTCATAAAGAGGTGCATCATGTTAATTATGGTATAATGACAACACAACCACAAGAATATACAGGGATAAAAAAACAAATCCACCTGACACTAGTTCACAGAGATCGTCCAGATAAGGCACAATCTGGAATATTCTTACCAAAGGGCCTATATATATTTCTCAGAATTCCATAATGAATAACAAACTTCTCCCCCTCATAGAGTGTTTCTCAATATGCCTGCTTGAACATACTTGTCTACTCGTTTTACGTCATCTTCCATTACCGAAGACCAGTTTCAATACTAAGAACACATGTAGAGGATGGTAAACATCCCCCCCATCCCTCCCGTCCCGCCCCAAATACATCAGTTGCATCCTCACCAAACGAGACCAATCCCATGATTCATTGCGCTCCAAGTTTGTTCTTGGGAGGCATGTTAGCAAGACCACTCTGATCTTGGCATTGAGAAACACCCAGAGTCTCAGCCCCTTCCTTGTAAAGCAGTATTTTTAATGGGAATACAATTTAAATGCAGGCACAGAAAGTAACAGTGCCACCAGGCTTTTGGAGGATGCATTACACCCCAGATTTCAGGTGGAGCCCCCCCCAAGCGGCCCATGGTGTGTTTATGTGAATATGTGTGGTGACACAATCTGAGGAGCGTTTCAGCACTCTCTGAGGGTAATATGGTGCCCACCCAGAAGCGTGAGACACCCACTCTTCCCATTGGCTGGTGCCCTTCCTGTACAGCAGCGTATCCAGGGCGACGGCGTTGGCGTCGAGCGATCCCGGCGACGGCCACTGGTTGGTGAGGTGAGCCGTGAGTTCTTGCCTGGACTGCCGGTCGTGGTTCTTCAGCACAGTCCTGGGGCGGTACACAGGGAGGCTCTGTGATGTGTGCTCAGGGCGCCAGTGTCATTACGACCATCGTTACCCTCCCCGTAAGCCGTCAACAATCTCACGCCAGCTGCCGGTCTACGGGCCGGGCCTACAGTGTGGATGCGATGCCTCTCAGCTCTAACCCTACGAAGGGCAGCTCGGCTCACGCAGTGCCGGGGGTTTGATGGAAGCGCAGACACGAAACCAACGCGTATGCCTGCTTCGGTCTCTAACTGCAGGGTCCTGGCACCTTTGAAAGAGCCGGGCTCACATGCGCAGCACTCACAGCTGGTCCTGCAGCTCCAGCACGATGTACTCCAGCTGCTCCTTCTCCAGCTTGTGACTGAGGTCGGCCTCAGCCAGCCGCTGCAGGAGCGCTTTGTTCTGGGAGACCGACTCCGACAGCTGGGCCTCCCTCAGCCGCACCAGCTCCTCCAGGTAGCCCTGGGGGGGGGGACAGATCAAGCTGGCATGCCAGCCTCACAGGGTGCCTGTGGCAATGCACCACGGAATACCACACTTTACCTGTATATAGTCATATGCGAGTACAAATCAAACAGATGCTGTGGATATCCAGATATCCAGGACCGGGATGTGTATAAAGGCAACAGGGACGGAAGTAGTGATACAACATGTAATTAGGGCAGCAGGCCATGTAGAAAGGAGAACCCACAACAGGAGGTTGTGGGTTCATGACCAGCTCTGAATCGCTACAGTAGAAGGAAGCACAAGCACTGAATACTGGTGACGGTATTGTAACTTTAAAAGTGAATCACGTAGGATGACATCGTCGCCTTCGCACCAACGCCCTACCCAGACGGAGATGGTCCACTCGGTTAAAAGCAAGCCAAGGTTAATCAGCCTGCAGAGAGCACTGCGTTGAACCTGCGGCTGTGTCATCTGTAAATGCTCCCTGTGGTGAGGGAGGGGGGGCTTTTCATTTAAACACTTAAAGCTTCGCCTCAGATGACCACGGAAGCACAATGAATGCACAGTAGGTCTAATCACAACCGGTGAGAAGCGGACAGATGCAGAAATCCAAAACAGAGTAACGAAAATTTAAAAGCCATAAATCTTTAGAGGAAATGAGAAATTCAGGACTTCTGTGAGGCGACCAGCCACTCACAGTACTGCAGAGTCAGAGAGACGCAGTCGCTTCATAAGCAGGATCAATTCCCAGTAAGAGGGGTTTAGTCCCAGTAAAACATCCAATGCTTAAAATAAAACATTACAGTAACGTTTCGATAAGTCAGGAAGGAAGGTGGCACTGAAGACGAGGCTGTCAAACTACACCTTCTTTGGATGTTTAGTTTTCTCCATTTTAAGCCTCACTTCAGCTACACTGTGCGCAGGGAGAATCTTCCCGTAAATCCCACATGACGCCACAGTCTGTGGCAGCCTGGACGGGGGTGAAGCCCACAGAAACCCCACATGGCGCGTGAGGCAGCCGGATACGGCGGATTCCTGGCGAATTAGCTGCCGGCGTCTCCATTAGCCCGTTATTAACGGCCACAAATCCAATTACGGCGGCGCGGAGAGCGAGCGCCGATTAAAGACACCGGGGAGATGGAGGGACAGACTACATCAGCTTCCCCAGATTCTCCTCCAGCTGTGACCTGGGAGTCAGAGGAAGCGAGTCCCGGACAACGACGCCCCCCATCTCTCCTGGCCGACCCCGCCCTAGTCTTACGATATTACGATACGATGCTGCTATATTTTGTAAAGTGACCTTGAGCTCAGAAAGGTGCTATATAAATTAAACATCATCATCATCATCATTATAATTATCAAAGAAACCTCTGCTGAATGCAGCCAGTCCTGCTCCAATCAGCACGCCTGCAGTGAGCATGCCCCCTGGAGGACGACCCTGGAAGGGCGCCCCCTGGAGTACGACCCTGGAAGAGCGCCCCCCGGAGGACGACCCTGGAAGGGCGCCCCCTGGAGTACGACCCTGGAAGGGCGCCCCCCGGAGGACGACCCTGGAAGGGCGCCCCCCTGGACACACGGCGCCTCCATACCTTCTGCTCCAGTGCCACCCTGTACTTCTGCTCCACCCTCCGGCACTTGTTAAACCAGCTGCTCTGGTCCAGGAGGAGGGTGGACCCCCCCGTTTCTGGGGTGCTGGCCTCACTGCCGCTGCTGCCCAAGGTGCGCATCTCCTCCTCGTCACTGCTGATGCTGTCAACACTGGGGGGTGGGGGGGGAATGACAGAGAAAAGGGGAGCATTGTATTAGCGGTAGGGGGCACGGGAGGAGCAATGGTGAAATGGGGGAGGACTGAAAGATGATGGCTGCCACAGTGCGCAAAAGCAAATAAAATTAAAAAAAACTGCATATTTTATTAAATTACACAGTAATTATGATATCATGAGTTCTGTGATCTATGACCAAGTTTCTCTCAATGTTGATCAATGTCGAACCAATGACAATGGGGGTGGGGGGGGGGCAGGACGGTGATCCGATTTCAGGGGTGATGGTGCCGGATCCAGCGTCGATGTGCGTGAACTGCCCCCCCGAGCCGCCTCCTCTCGGCCCACCTCTCATACCTCTGGGTAAACTTCAGGTAGGGGGTGTAGTCGATAACAGCCGGGCAGCTGCCATCCAGTGTCTCCCCCTTCAGGCAGAAGCTGGAACGCGAAGGAGAAACGACACCGAAATGCTCTGCTTTGTGTCTTTTCACTCATCAATGCAGCGTAACATACAGGGGAGCTGTGGTGGGTTAGATATGCACTATATTCCTTCAGATTTTTATTATTATTAATATTTGTATTATTATTATTGTCGTTAATTGTAGCCCTATAACCAGCAATAGACAGACCATAGCCTAGCAGTCACCCAGTGCATTGTGTGATGCCTTCCCCACCCCCCAGTGCATATGTGAGGCCATCACATTATACTGACTGGAGTGTAGCGTGGGGGGGCGCCTCCCCGGGCCCCGTTCTCACCTGAAGTCGATGGCATTCAGCCCAATCAGCATGTCCGCCAGCAGCCCCGCCTCCTCTCCCAGGACGACGGAGCCCTCCCCATAGAAGCGCCTGTATCGATCAAAAGCAGCTCGTTTGCACGTCCGAGTCGCCGGAAAGCTTCTATTTTGCATTACACAGCGTCTAAGGAGACTTGGAATGTATTTCAGTGTCTTAAAAACAAGAGCAAGGACTCCTCCAGCACACACAAACACTTAAGTCTGGGAGATAATTAATCAACCTCTATGGCAACCACAATGACAAACAGTTTTAAGTCATGGTACTGCAGTAACTGTTAGGCTACTCTAACGTGTCAGTACTCTATGGCAACCAGTCACATCCTCTATGGTAGGCTAAGCACTAAGCCACTTTAAGGTAACACATCCCCGTGACGACGCCTCCCCTACGCAATGCCAAATGCGTCGCCATAGAAACCACTACACTACATCATGCGCTAAATTGCTAAGTCGAGTAACCGAGTTTGAAGTATCTAACCGAAATAGATAAGCGGAGAGTTACTGACGTAAGTGGCCGTCCAAATGAGCAAACTGCAAAAGCCAAAATGATTTTTAAACATCAGCTACGCGCTGATGTGCGGCAGAGTTACTGCATTCAACAGGAAAAGCTGAACACAATGAGATCAATGTTCATGTCGGAAGCGGCCAGACACCAGCATGACTGTAAGGGGCCCCAGGGCCACTGAGACAGGTGGATGGTCCTGGGGCCACGGCGTCTGCCTCACCTGGTGGTTCTGTAGTCCTTGAGCGCTGTGGATATGTACTCGGACAGACGCTTCTCCATGAGGGCCACTCTGATCCAAGCTCGGCCCTGAGGAACAAAACGGGAACCAGGAATCAGCTCCTCCTTACCTCTCCATGGACACCCGTGTCTCTGCACATGTATCATTTAAATGCACTCTTACCTCAGGGATTTATCTAAAGTATCATAAATGCTCAAAGGTCCTTCAGCGGGGTCCTCCTCCGACTCAAGCCAACAACGTTCTGGTTCTCAAGCCCTACAGTACCTACTCCTCCAAATATATCACTTTTTCCCCCCTACTTGAATGAATTTTACACACAATTTTCGTAGACGGTGTGTAATTCTTCAGGTGTGTCCATCCCTCACAGCCCTGAAACGGTCATTTAACCCTACAAAAGGAGACGTTCTCCAGCCTGATCCCATGGGCAGAGCTTGGTGATTGTGGGCTTTATAGAATGGAAAGATGTACAATTGATGGCCTTTTAAATGCTGGAATGAACCAGTGAAAGTAAAGTCCTGCTGGAAGCAGGATGTCAGAGCACGTCAAAGTCAGCGTTAACAAGTCTTTGTTTAACTCAGTAAAAGGGGATTTATGCAAACCCATTTAATCTCTAACTAAATGGAGGCATATAGTGAAAGAACGCTCAGTAAGTGTCGGAGGAGCCGGAACATGAGCAAACTCCTTCCAAGGCAGGTGAGGCAGAGGAAAGCCCATGCATCTCCCTCATATCCAGCTACAGATGTCCTTATTCCTTAAGCATTTATGCAGCAGCCCCGCCAGGTCCGAAGGCACGTGCACCTGAACCTTCTTACATAGCATGATACAGCATTCATCATGGTTGGGCGATGCTGTATGATGGTGCTTCAGTATGTCCTCCTGTCATCCCTACATTGTGTAAGCACCACCCACCTACCCTCAAGGAACCAATCTAATCAGAGCTCATCCGTGATTGGCAGATGAGGAAATGCAGACAAGATGCAGCCATTTTCCTCTGGCATAATCACAATGGCCTTTTAAACAGCCTAATCAGGTACCTCTATCTTTTCTGGTTGCTCAGTAAAAAGCCCCTTTTATGGGTATATTTTAAGCCCACCGATTTTGGAGATGATTACCTCTCCACGTGACGGGGTCACCATATGGTCCTGGACCCTGGTGAAATGTGATCCTCATCCCTGTTGTGTTATCCCTGGTGGATGCAGTCTCACCTCGGCCCGAGCAGAGTTTACATTCTTACCTTGGACCTGGAAAGTTCCAATCTCAGCTACTGGTAGACCGTGAACCCAAGCCCCACCTCCTCCCGTTATCCATCGAAGATGATGAACCCAAGCACCACCCTCCTCGCCTTGGCCTGAAGGCCCTGGTCTCACCTTGGCCCGTGACGTGCGGACGTTCTCCATGTTCTCGATGCTGCTGATGCAGCTGTGAGGCACCTTGCTGCAGGCCACGCGGATGTAGTCCCAGAAGCTTCTAGGGCTCTCATAGCCAAACCAGGTAACCTGCCCTGGAAGCAGGGGAGAGGAGTCCATCAGCACGGTCCGCCCTCTGCAGCCCATCTGGAGATCCAGCACCCTGTGGTGCTCAAGGGCACCATACTGTACCACCATCCCTTCCAGGTCTTCAGCCCACAGTCCTCCTTCCACTACAGTAATTAATCAGCACCCAATAACCAGCATAAACAGCATCTGTTGCAAAACCAATACATGCACCATCACGCCGAAGACGTTCTCAGGCCAGGTCTTCTTTAAGGAGGACAAGAATAACAAGGCCTCCTACTGAGGTCATTTTTCCTCTCCTTACGTTAAATTATAGTTAGGATACATTAGCTGATTATGAGAAAACCTGATTAAGATTAACGTCCTTTCGAGGCACAACTCCCGCCTTTGCTCATCGCCAAGCAGCCCCGGGACTCCGTTCTAGAGGAATTCGAGCCCAACAAAGACACAGAGACTTGATGAATCGTAGAATGCCTCAGGGTGGGAACGTGAGGGAACAGGCCTAGCTAAGGTTTCAATAAGTGATGAGAACGGGACTGAGTCAGAGGCGTCTCAGCCAAATGAAAAGTGCCCCATATTTTATTTCCAGGTTAAAATTACATCACACATCAGCTTAAATGATGACGAATGATCAGCCAGTGTCTTCACATGCAAACGGCACAGTCTACGGTCACCCATTTCGGGCAGTTATGAAAATCGAGAATGGGGGTGTATCAATGTGACTGTAGCTACACTAAATGCAAAGGCACGCAGAGAAGGTGTCGTCCGGAAAGATTAATCCATAATCTGAACAAAGGCTGACACGAGGCTGGGACACGAGGCTGACATGAGGCTGGGACACGAGGCTGGGACACGAGGCTGGGACACGAGGCTGGGACACGAGGCTGACACGAGGCTGGGACACGAGGCTGACATGAGGCTGGGACGAGGCTGGGACACGAGGCTGACACGAGGCTGACACGAGGCTGACACGAGGCTGGGACACGAGGCTGACACGAGGCTGGGACGAGGCTGGGACGCCAAGCAGCCTTCTCCCGCTGCGAGGTGCGAAGACTGACGCCATCAGAAGAAAGATCTTCTTAGCATGACATTTTTCAGTGTGCCAGTTGGCGCGCGTACGGACTGCTGAAGAGATGGGGCGTTTCCAGGGACGCCAAACTCCCCTATTCTTCTTCACTTGGCTTTGACGTCCACAGAACGGCCTGAATGAAGCGCGTCACCAACCACAGCGGAAAGGCAGACATTAAGCCTTATCCTTTTGCTCTAGCTGTGAAAGTAGGATGTGATAGCACTTCGGGGGTGGTCTGTGGAACAAAGCAGGAGTCTCTGCATGTCTCTATTTCTCCAAAGTAAGGCTCTGGAAGCCAGGGCTGACCCAAGGCATAAGCGAACTAAGCAACTGCATAGGGCCCAACAGCCACCAGGGGGCCCCCTATTTCATCAGCCTGTCACACATGGCTGACCCTGTTTGAAGCAAACACAACTAATGGGAAAGATCTCCACAGATTCAAGCGCCCCAGTATCTGAGGCTAAGCTGACCAGGCATAGACATAGACTGCACAAGGATATGCTTAGTGTCTGATGGAGACCATGAGGTTTAGTCATCCACCAATCAGCAGCGTGGGACTGCATCTTCTCCTGCGACTGTTTCTGCTAAAGAAAAACATTAAACAACTTAAATGAGCAAGGGGGGGGTAACTATGCAAAGACCCAAATGGATCCACGGGGGGAAATTGCGAGAGTATCACCTGACATCATCGGACGTGACAGCAGACACACGGAGCGGTCTCTTTCTTGTTTGACCTCTGCTCCCTGAAATAAAGTGCTGCTACCTAATGGAAATACCTAGTCAATGTCCTTGCAGGTGGACTCCGCCACTCATGACTTCGGCTGGACATTAAAATCTGGGCTACAGTTACACCATCTGGCGCAAAACGCTGATGACAAAATGTACGTCACTCACCCTGTGTGTGGAAAGTGTCCCGTAAAACTGAAGTATGACTTGTGCCTAGTAAGTTCAAATAAAGGCCAGTAAAGTGAGAATGCACTGGGTGTGACTGATCCAGCTATCAGACCAAAGATGGGGGGGGGGGTCCTGCTGGCTGTGAGAGACATAACTGCTCGTGGGAGATTTACGCACACAAAAGTGTTCTGAGGGCAGAATGAAAAATGATTGGTCATATCTCTGAACCACTGGTATTGCTAAGTGGCTTTCCGACTTGTCCTACTGTAAGGGGGTTAGTTCAGGTGTGACGTCATTCCCCGCCCCGACTTCCCACCTCCGAGGTAAATGGACTGCAGCATAAGGGCTTCTGTGCCCCCGTGTCCCGCCCTGCCTACGATACCAGTGACCTTTGTCCACGCTGCAGTGGAGATGTTGTCAGACTCTGCAATGTCACGTTTCCCCACAGATCTCACGTGGCTTAGTGGGCGTCCCTCCCTCCAGCTACCATCACACACTCTTCATTTCCCTGAACCACAGCTTAGCCGGATACCTGCTGAAACTCTGAATAAGGACTGTGCATTTTTCCATTCCTCCGAGTCCTTTGGGGACTGCGGCAGAAGGCTGACATTTCCGCGCTGCTGCTACACCGACAGTCAGACCCGACGGCCGTCATTTCACAAACGCACCTCGTCGGAATAGAATCGGCAATGCTGTGGTACATTTCACAGGAACGTGCACTTATGGGTTTCCTGTTTCTTCAAACAGTCACGTCCTCTCATTTATCTGGCTTCTGCTCCCTAAATGTTACCTCCCGCTGCCACCGGCTTCTTAATTCAGTCTATTTCAATACTATCTTCTGAAACTTCTGTTAATCACGCTAATTTTTATAGTTAAAATATCCCAGCTGTTCACTCAGGGCACAATAGGTCTGACGTCTTTCATTTAAAGTGGAGGAAATGCTGAGTGACTCATCCAAAATGAAGCTCCATCTTTTGTTTGTGCTCTAAATGCAAGGTGGAGACACAAACGAGTGTGAAGCGCCACAGCAGAGAGGCCACTTCTAAACCGCTCCGTGTCGCCGCCCTGCAGGCCAGTGGTTTAGGTAATCACGTCTTTGCGTGGGTGTCGGTTTGCCCCCAATGCTACAGCCCCTGTCTCCACATCACTTGGTCAGACCTACAGCTATGGTTGTCCTGTCAGTCACACTCTCTGCCGGGAATGTAAAGTCAGCGCTAGGCTGAGGGAAAAGTACTGACACGCATTTAGGCTTGGCACACGGGACGTGCAGAGAATGTTAAACACGCCGCGTAAATGCCAGCGTGAGGAAGGTCTTCGGAGTGTAGGCCGGCTCTACACACACATCTTCAGAGACAGCAGCGGCATCAACGGGAAGCTCCAGGTGACATTCAGAAGAGTGACGGACAGCAGACACTTCCATGCAGCACCTACCTTTCAAACGATGGCTCAGGATCTGCTCCAAGATGCAGACGAAGTTGACGAATTCTGGCGAGGTGTCATCGATGGTCTCGAAACAAGAGCGGTCGATCAGGGTCTTCACAGAGAACCTGTATGGGGCAGACTGGGACTCAGGAATGACGGCATGAACTGCGTGCGTGCGACACGTCCGGGCTGGTTAGGTAACAAACATGTCACCCGGCCGACGAGCGTGAAGAAATGAACTGATGGAATAATCAGTGTTTTTCAGGTGGGCTGAATTAATGCATTATGGTGTAGATTTTAAAGTAGATTTTCTCCCCATCAAATATGCATGGGTCAAAGTCCATGAGATTACTTTCATAAATACAGACACTCCCCACATTGTAGTGGTCTGTGTCACGATATTTCGACTTTACGATGGGTATTCCAGTTCCGTTCTGTTTTTCTCTTTCAGTGCAATATTCAATAAATTACATGAGCTATTCAACACTTTATTATAAAATAGCGTGTTAATGATTTTGCCCAACTTTAAGCTAATGTAAGCGCCTTAACACAGCAGTCCCCACCCTACCCGCCGCTCCCTGAGCCGGCCGAGACGCCTTAACACAGCAGTCCCCACCCTACCCGCCGCTCCCTGAGCCGGCCGAGACGCCTTAACACAGCAGTCCCCACCCTACCCGCCATCCACGTGTCTGTCCCAGTTTCCGTGTCGCCGCTGCTGGTTAATTCAGCCAGAATGCAAATTAATGACGACTGGAACCCTTTCCAGAGGCCCCGGTTTCCTGGGGACGGGATAAAGCGCAACGCATGTAGGAGTGAGAGACACAGAGAAGCGTGACAAACGGCAACCCACTGCACAGATTCGGGGCGATGAAGCGAATCACGCGGTGACAGGCCAGAAAGCAGCCCCACCCCCCCATTCAGCATCAAATCCCTGTTTACTTGGCATTTCTGCCCTTCAGCAGCTAAAATTCCAGGGCTGCAGGGTGGGTCTTGATTTCCCTCCCTCTCGTCATGGATATTCAAGGCATTATAGTGGGTTTACCAACCCCGTGAAGTGCAGGCGTTAACAAGGTCTCACCTGCTATAAGTCATGTCAATCAGACACTAATTAAATAAAACATGATCTTTAAAACCTGGAATCCAGGAATCAGAGCAGAACCCACCCCGGTGCTCTTGAAGTGCATGTAAGCAGAAATTATATTAGATATTAAACTCTTTCAGCCATGAAATGTTTCCAAAGGTAAGTCACCTGATGAAAGACACAAAACTGACATGAGACGGCTGACTGATCACAGTGTGAGAAAATGCAATTAAAAAGCACCGTCATCACAAAGATGATTCAGCCTGATAATCTGATGGAATCATGCGGCTACATTAATAATAAAGAACAGTCAGACACAGAACGGCAAGGCGAAGGGCTAGACATTAATTAGCACCATGAAAGGCTTATAAATAAAGTCAGTTAGGCAGAGAAGCTGAAGCGGAAACATCTTAACAGTTCAGGCGACGTCAGGGCCGGAAGGTGGACCATCGTCACAAGGACGGTGACCGGATTCAGGTGTGGGAGACCCGAGGTCCAGATGTGCAGATACCAGGGTGGGAAGGTTGGGCCCAAATCAGCTGGCTGGGATCTGCCTGGGGGCAGATTTTCAGGACCCAAACAAGGCGGAAAAGGTCTGACAAACCTTCTTATGAACCTGAGATTGTTTGAAGATCATATTACAATGAATGCCATGTTTTTTGTGGACAGCAGTTAACATCACCTTAACCTTTAGGTATATTAAGATTATGTAATTTGTTGCTGTGATTTAATGATTCTTTTAAACCATTTTCCCCAAACAGGTAGCCAAAGATCGCACGACCATAACAGTTCTAAGATTAACTTGTCAGCATTGCCCCTGGCGTCAGTCTATGAAGTTATATAATTTGAGTCTGTATTTCAACTGATTTTTATTGATTAGAAAATAAAAATTTCTAAAATGTTAGAAAATTTTAAAGATAGGGAACACCAGAGGTGGAAAGTTCAGGTTCAGAAAGAAAAAATCCAGACCGAGATTTTGTTTCAACCCACCAGTTGAGCACCGGTGACTGTGACTCTTTATACTCCACTGATTGGTTGAAATGAAGTCTTGGTCTGGATTTGTACTTTCTGAACCTGAGCTTTCCACCTCTGGACAACACTGATGTGTTAGTGATGGATTAGTGAGCATGACCTGCCAGAGACCTGAAAACAGCTCAGGTACCGTGACAGTACTGGGTTGTAGGTGATTGTAGGTGTGTCTGGCAGAGATTGTAGGTGTGTCTGGATTATCTGAGACAACATGTGCACCATAATTGTGAGGCTGCACTGATGATCTGCCATACTTGCTGCTATCAAGCTATTCTCACTATGCAGAAAATTACTGTATCCCCCGGAGACAGACTATATCTTAGCATTTGCCTCCTGAAGATGTGCTGCATTCATGTCACCATTTTCACTCTGGGGTTCAGACGCTAAGCTCCATTTGGACTGAGCGACCCGTGAATCTATGACAGCAAGTCGACAGGACCTGGGGTCTGCAGAACTGTATAAGAGCAGCCCGCTTTACAGACCACGCTTTACAGACCACGCTTTACAGACCACGCTTTACAAACCACGCTGTGGGCGAGCTCCACTGAGAGAGCGGCATCATGACGGAGCAGGAGGGAGGAGCCTCTGACTTAAGGAAGATCCAGCCGTCGGCTTCGGACACTCTGGCCCAAATAATTAAGTGCCTGTAATTAAAATCGGCTTATTTGGTGAGTGCAGGCATGTTGGAACATGCATGACAGTAATGCTGCTGACAAGAGGATTTCTGTGGCTAAACTCATATGAAATTTTGCAGACGGTTCCCCAAAGAACACACAGTGAGAATGGAAGATAATAAGGCAGTGAGAGGAATAGCTGTAAACATGCATATAACCTCTGGCGACAACTTCAGGTGACACCTGGCCAGTGAACTATGAAGCACGTTTAATCGCAGTTAACTCAATACAACTGCTTTAACTAACCCTGATAGCCTCAATCAAAGTTAAATGGTACTATGATGGCAGTTAACAACTTAGTAAGCTGACTCAGTGTTTTTTAATCTCATGGGAGTTCACGGTGGGACCAACCAATCAGATGTTTCGGTCCTGTCTCCTCTAGTTACTTGGACCCACTTCCTCTACAGTCTGCCGGGGTAAAAAACAAGCGTTTTTTTAATCAGAGTCTGTGCGCATTCACATAAAAGCAGTGGTGTCAGCATTACACTAAGGATGAAAAATAACGGCCACCCTTTGCTAGCAATCATTACTGCCAACACCCTCACCCACCCTGGCAAACTGAATCCACCCATGACACCCAGCACCGAATTCAGGCATCAGGATAAAAACCTTGGCATTACATGGCATCAGGTAGAAAAGAAAATCAGTGGTATCACCCATCACTACTATTTACTCAGAGAGCGGCTCCGAATCAGCTTTGATCTTTGGAGAAAGGGCCCGTTTTCGCCCCAAAAGCCTGTGCTTAAACTTGTTCAGAGCAGGTTAGGCATGCAGCACAAATTACTATGAAGTACATTCTCTGTATAAAATTGAGTTACGATTCTTAGTACCCAAAACTCAGAAGTAAGCCTCAGGAAACCTCGTTAAGCCAGTAAACTTGTATCATAGTACCGTAATACACCCCCCTGCATGGGCTCAGACAGACGATACTGATTGTGACTGACAGGTGACACTGGGCACATGCTTCCAGCTGGTTCAAACACATCTGCAGGCACCAGGTATGCTGCACTTTCCCATTCAGACAAATCAACCGTTAAGTCAAATCAACGACGTTCCTGGGACAGTCAAATATCACGGTGTGTGACCTGGTCGGTAAAGGTCAACCAAAACCTTCTGGAACCCTGGATTGGGGCCTTACTGTGGGTGGAAAAGTACACCAGTCCAGCTTCCGGGGCCAAACCTGCTGGTGTAAACATCACGCCTTCCCCAGGTAAAAGATGTGTCCCAGCCCAAGTCCTGAGAGATGAAGCAGTTGTCTAGTTTCTGCTGAACTGGCAATAGGCTGTGCTCCAAAATCTCCCAAAGGCACACTGCAAAAAAAGGTCAGTGTGGTGGACAGTATGGGAATGGGCCGTCCAATGAGACAGACCCCGCCTTTCCCCCTCTGCGGGGACCTACCAGCCAGGTGGAACGCGTCCAGTACAATGGCACTCGCACACACTGAAAATTATTAATAACATACACCTTCTAGAGTCCTGCCAAAATCCATGTGATCTCATCTCGCCTGAAAAAGGAGGGTGACCCAGCCTCAGAGGACACGTTCCCACATGTGACCGCAGGATTAGGGGACAGCGGCGTACAGCCCGTCTGCACGTCACTGAGCGTGGAGCTCATTTCCTGTCACTGAGCGATAAGATGCTACATTTCCGCTCAGCGTTACACCAAAGAAACAGCTTTTCAAAACAAGCCTTTGACAAAGAACACAAGTCTGAGCCACATCAGTCACTTGGGAGCGGCAGGGGAGCGGTAAACAGCATGGACTCCAGGGAGACAGCCTGCTGTTGGACCCTTAAATAACCAGAATCACTCAAGTAGTATAAGGCGAGCTGTTGTACCCTTGACTAACCTGGATTCTCCTGACTGGGATGTCCTCTGCGAACCATATGGTGAGGATACCAATGGACTAACAGACTGCACTTCTGGGTACATTAATTTCCGTATGAAGTCTGTCATACCATAAAAAACTTTAAACAAGAAAGCCGGCTCTGGTCCAAGAGCCGATCCAGACTCACTGCTCCATGAAGCAGTTCCTACCTTCGGCCATTAGACTCTCCAAGAAGTCACCGTATGGCAGGGGATCTGACCGACCAACTGTCTGAATGGACCAGAACCGCCACATTCACAGAACATTCATTCATAGGAAGCTCAGCCTAGCAGTACCTGGGCATTCACTGGAAGCTCAGCCTAGCAGTACCTGGGCATTCACTGGAAGCTCAGCCTAGCAGTACCTGGGCATTCACTGGAAGCTCAGCCTAGTTACATTGACGCTTAGGTGACCCCTTGCAACATGTTATTTGCCTCACTTGGATATCATTTTGACAAAAGTGTCTGATGAATGTATTAATGCAAGGTATTAATGTCTAAATTTCTTATTACTGTCTAAATATGTGTAAGTATAGTAATGTCTGTCTGGCAGACATTCAGCTGTGAAACTGGGTGAAAACCATCACCCATCTTAGACAAGAAAAAAAAATTATTGGAAAAAAATAAAGTACACGTCCATCTGCTTTCCCCTTGTCACTTAGCCAATGCAGGGCGAGAGAAGAGGCTATGCAGGCAGGAAACATGCGGGATGGGACACCATGAGGTCCAGCACGGAATGGAGGTACACGCAGAAAGGGAGATTTAAGGACACCAGTGCACCTAAACCTCGTCCCTGGGAAGAAAAGTGCACGGACACAAGGAGAGCATGCCATAAGATACGGAACCGGAGCAGAAGACAAACACACAAACTCAGAGGTCTGAGGACGCAATGTCGCCACTATCAACTAGGACTGGACGATATGGCAAAAATTTATATCACGATATATTTCTTACTTTTGGTCGATACGATATAATTCCGATATCGATATGGACAATATTAAAAAGACTCAGGAAAAAACTGCCGAGGACACACACAATGGATGTCTGCAAACTGAATTTGCAAAGTCTATAATACCTCCAGGCTCCTCCTATTAAAATTATATCATTTTTTTTTTTTTTATAAAAACGGTACAAAAAAAAATAAGGTTCACTTTTTATTTGTATTTA